TTCTCCAAACAGTTGATATGTTAGCTCATAGTGGAATCAGGTGACCGTATCTGTTTCCGTTTGTACTTTAAAGGACGAGCACAAGAGAGGCCAAGTTGTTGAGAGAACTCTTCTTCTCCATTTTCAAGAAATTCACAGCAACTTTATGAAAGTTACCTCTCCTCGGCAATAAAAAGAGAACCAAATCTGGTGGACGCATTTGGCATGGCATCGTATATTACGCTGTAATTAACTTTGCGCCGATGACGTCTTGAAATCTAAGCAATAGAAACTCGATATCCAACCCTGAAATAAAAGCTGGATGTTCTATTGGTTCTGAGCCTCGCCTCTACTAGTTTCGACCCAGACGTGAGGACGTAATTTGATCCTCTGCTGAATAAACAAAATCGAATTTCGCCTTTACGAATTGAGGGACAAAATTTGGGCAAAAGCGAGAAGAATCACTTCATACACAAACGATACAGAACGAGTTAAAACAGCGACTTTCAGGTGTTCGAAAAACTTTAACATCTGCCCCTCGTTAGAGTTGTTTATAATATATTTACGTTTCGTTGGGAGCTCTGGCAAGGAAACGAACAGCAATCAGAACAATTATTTTGCATGTCAGCAGATATGAGGTTCTGTTCTTTCTTTTAACTCTAAATATGTGGTCAACCAATTGATGCTTGTTTGCAGAAGTTCCTCAGAGTGGAGACTTAACCATTAAGAGAACTAAAATAAGTTTTGGGTTATATATTCAGGTTGAACTCAATGTTGCGCGCCTTGTCATCGAACGCCCTCTCATAGCGTTTCAGGTTATGACCCTACCAGACCGGCGTTTTGCCTGTTTTGTTGTAAGAGGCCGAATCCCGGACGCTGTAGACAGTCGCCGCAAACGACCTTCATTTCGTCCATTTGCGAAGTCAGAGGCAGCACCTCAACATCAGGTAGCATGACTTCGTCCCAAACGTAACCGTACGCCAAATTAATTGGATTAGCTCCCATTGGGGACCCAATCGACCAGCGGAGAACTGCGCTGTTCGGACAAGTGGCCAGATTGACTGACGTTGTAGACACTCGCAACGGAGTCTCACCGTCGCCTTCCCGTCGATCGCCGACAAGCAAACCACCGGACACATGAAAGAAACAGTATTCTTCAACAAGAAGGCCGACAACTTCTAAGAATTTCGCAACACCGTCATCGCCAAAGACCATTGATTGCGGGCGAATGGTGCCTCGCGCTTCTGTTGCTGTGTTGTCTACATGTCTACATTTCTGCATTTGCAGATATCACTTTGCTCTTACCTCGAGCTCAGTGAGATTTCTGTGTAAACTTCTGAGGCAACGATCAAAACTGAAATTCACTATATCTACTTATATAGCGTTTAACTGTTTCCAAATATTTAATTAAGGATCCAAACATAACAGCTCAATAACGCTGATTATATACGATATGACGATTCTCAATAGGTCGAAGGAAAGATGACAAAATTCTCCACCCAATCCGCAGTGCTCAATGTGGTTGGTAATAATGCACCAAAGCGAGAACCAAAGCAGAGAAGAACCCACGTACAAGAAGACTGAGGATTAAACGGTGACATTTCAATTGGAATTACCTGTGATATGGTGAAAAAAAATAAAATCAGAAAGAATGAGACAAATTCCCACTTTGGATAAGACGTGAGGGAAGCATCGTCAACAGTTGAAACACGTCATTTGGAGAGAGAGAGGGAGAAAGAGAGGGAGAGAGAGGGAGAGAGGAAGAGAAAGGGAGAGAGAAGGAGAGAGAGGGGGAGAGAGAGACAAGGCACATCAAATGTGTAAATGATAGGGAGGCATCACAGAGGAGTCGATTACGTACAAAAAAACACCTAAAGTTGCGGACAGCAAATCAAACCTTGCATTTTTGTGCAAAAAATAATTTTGAACAGAATAGGTGGTGAACGAATACGAATGAGACTAATGAACCAATATGGAAGGAAAACGAAAAACATTTCAAATCTTTACTTATATAGTCTAAATTTATTGCAGTACTTAATTGTTTTACCATATAAGAAACAAACAGTTGGTTGGTACACGAACTGACTGCTCTTTAAGTGTCCTACGGCATGCAGGCTACCACAACGGTTGCCATGCTCCTTTTGTATATCGTGTACAACATCGTCTACTTGTTTGTCGTATGATGAAAGAAAGAGACCTATTTTTGGTTTCCAGAGCTCACGCCTTGTTATGAAGTCCGTGCGATGTTTGTTGCAGTGAAATTGGCACCAATAACTCATTTTTACCAGACTTGAATTTAATTTTGAGGACACGTTCTTCCCAGGAAATGGATGCGTAAACGATTATTGAATTTCTTACTGTCCACAATTCTCTTTAATAACTTACTCGAATCATCATAATTTAAGAAATGTGGCAGTAACCGAGTACAAAGTGTAAAATGAAATGTTTTGCTCTCAATTCATTTGCATTTGCACACAAAATCGCTCAGGAACTTCGCCA